CCCGGGGGAGGGAGGGGCCGGGACCGCCGACTGCGTTGGAGACTTTGCACTAAGTTCCTGGTCAGCTGTGGTGTTTGTGTGTGTGCTTCTAAGTTGCACTGCCTTGGTTCAGCCTTCGGTTGCATTTCATGAAACCAGCATTGTTCGAGCCTGTGAGAACCCCGTCCTGTGTCTTCAGCTCGATAGATTTGTTTAATTTAAAAGCCTTTTGTTGTAAAAAGGTGGGGTTCGTCTGCAGCCCCTCTGGTTCTCTGCCATCAGCACCGTGTGGACTCCAAAACAAGTTGCCAACCCTTCCTTTCTCGGCCCTTTTCCCTCATTGCCCTGTATTTTTGTGCATACGGAATTGTATATCACCGGGTAAAACTGTTCAGATTGTTTAAATTTATAATCTTAATAAAAAGTCGATTACAGAAGATGGTGGTGCCTTGTTTTCAGATCTGTCTGGGGGCGTCAGAGAGGATAGAGAGGTGTGGGGAGAGACCCCCCGCCCCCATGTAAACCCCAGTTCTCTTGGGCCTGGGCGGGCGGGATCTGCCCACATCCGCAAGGTCGGCGGTGGGAGAAAGCAGGGTGATGTTGGTGGCTGGGGATGAAGCGGGTGCTGCGCGTCTCTCCGCCGCCCCAGCCCCCGCTCCAGGGGGGTCCTGTACCCCACGGGAACCGGCCGCCCCGGGGTCTCCAGCGGGAAGCGGAGCCGGCCTCCAGCACATTTCCTGCCCAGGCAGAGGCGCAGGGCCTGGTCGGCCTCGAGTCTGAGCTCTCTGTGGCCAGGGAAAGCAGCCGGGAGACGCTGGGGGTTTCAGGGCCACCAGCACTCCCTGCCCCGCGCCTCCGCCCGCACGTCCGCATGTCTCGGGCTGCAACTTGGGGAAGTTTTTTCCTTTTCTTTTTCCTTTTTTTTTTTTTTTTAAGTTGAGTTTGTTATCACTGCTCGGTGCCACTTGGTGGTGTGCTGGCGGCGTCTCCCTCCCTCCTCGCGCCCCTCCCCTCTCCCTCTCCCTCTCCCTCTCTCCCACCCGCCGCTCTTCCCTCCCCAGTGGATGGAGGCAGGAAGGCTCCCGGCGCGCGCTCCCCTCTGACCACCTACGGAATGACCTCAGAGTGGGAGAATGTGCCAAGGCCCGGGGGAAGCTCGCGTTCTCCCCACTGGAAACAAATTCACATCTGGAGCCGCGGCTTGGGCCCGGGGGCGCGCGGGATGGTTCCAGCTTTGCAAAGAGGGGTTAGGAAAGAAAGAATAAGAAAAAGAAAGCAAAGTGGCAGCCTGCTGGCTGTTTGCTGCCGACTCCCCACAGCTCCTCGCTCTCGCTGGCTCCCTCGCCCCCACACTGCCCTCGCCGGTGCGAGCCTCGCAGCCACCCCGCAGGACGCTCGCGCCCCCCACCCCAGCCTTCGCGCCTCCCTCAGCGACAGGAGGAGCTGCCGCTAAGAGGCCCCCAAGCCAGACTCCGAGAGGCACACGCAAGTCCGTCCCCGGGGACTGCCCGGCTCTGGATCCCGGTGTCGCGCGAGGCGAAGTTCTTGGGGACACTCTCCAGAACGCGGGGGTCGGCGGAGGTCCGCGATGGGGGTGGGGAAAAAGGAGGCTCTGGGGGCGTGAGTCGCGGGGAGGAAAGGCACCTGCACCCCCAGGGCTGCTTCCTCGGCCTCCCACGGGAAGAGTCTGGAGCTGCCGAGGAGGGGGAACAGTGCGTCTCCTCCCTCCCCATTTTCCCCTGCAAGTCCAAGGAAATCGCGGTTGGCTGCACGGTTTTGCTTCAATCCACGAAGCCAGTTGCCAGAGCTCCCCCTAGCGCCGCTTCGGGCGCGCTGCAGTGGCTGGGGCTGGGAGTGGGCGAGGCTCGGCGGGGGCGGCGGGGCTGCCGGGGGCTGCTTCGCGACCACCCGGGAAGCTGCGCGGAGTCTGCACCCCGCCCTAGCCTGAGCTGGGCCCCGGGGCCGCGTGCGTCCCCCACTCCAGGCCCGCGTCGAGGAGGGGCACGTGGTCGGCCCCCTTTGTTGGGAGCTGGGCACTGGAAGGGACCGGCCAAAGAGCTTGGGAATTCCCCACCCGCCCCAGGGATCCCTATGGTAAAGGAGAGTGGATGGTGGAGTGCGAAATAAGACCTCTGAACTCAGCAGGACCCCAGACGAGGGCTCTTCTCCTTCTGCCTGGTGATCTGAGCCTAAGCCGCACATTGGAATCTAGCAAAGCCAAGGAATGGGATGGGGCGCTCTGGGAGCACCCTAAAGAGAGGTGCCCTTCCCCCTCCCTTACCTTCTCAGGGCCCAAGGACCTGGGCAGCCCCACAAAGGGTTAGTGCCCTGAATATAATTCCCCTTGACCCAAAACGCAGCCCACTGGCAATCTACCCGTCTCACCAAGACATTCCACACAAAACTGTAACACGCTGCACAGCCTTGATTCTACACTACAGCCCACACTGAGGGCCACACCCAGCCACACACTGTCCACAACACTTGATCCTAAGCTGCATCCTCACCCCAATCACAACCACTGGCACAGCAGGAAACATACCAGCCTAGAACATCCAGAGAGACCGATGTTCCCGTGCATAGCACAAGTGAGAGGCTGCGTCCGGGAGGCGGGTGGATGGGGGTGCCTGGCCATGGGGGTCGTCTGAAAGGGGGATGGGATCAGGCGGGCAGGCAAACCAGGAGTCTATCTCAGCTCCACAGACAAGCCATTCTTCCTCCAGTAAAAAGACCAATGGAGCCCCCAGACAGGACTTAGGGGTGCTGCTTAGGGAGGCAGGGAAATGAGAAGAGACTGGGTGCCCAGGGGATGACAAGGGGGAGCTTCCAGAGATCAGCAGCTCTAGAAGCAAGAGCTCCAGCTAGTCCCTGGTCCTCCTAGGTTTACCAGCTCCCCTCAACACACTCCCCCAGGCTTCTAGGACACCACAGGTCCTGCCGCCCTTGATACGTGGTGTAGGGCTGAGTCAGGCTCCAAGCTGCGCTCCCAGCAACATGGAGCTGCTGGGATGACAGCCCAGACCCTCAGAGCTGCAGGCTGCCCTCCAGAGAAGCCAGGGGTGGGGATGCCTCGGACTCCCAGGGGAGTCACTGCGCAGGGCACTGAGATCTGGGTGCTGTGTGTGTGTGTGTGTGTGTGTGTGTGACAGCAAGAAAGAGTGTGTGTGACTGTGTGTCCCTCTGGCACAGGGGATGCACACCAGGGGCTGTCCCTCCAATCACTGGACAATATTTACGAAGCTCCCACTTGGTGCTTGGCCTGTGTGAGGCACTGATCTGACCACAGCGAACAATAGCAGCAAATGACGAGAACAGCAAGCCTCTCTCTCTGGATTAGCTCGTTTCATTTTTGCAGCTACCCTCTGAGGTAGAGACTGTGAGCCTCCTCATTTCAGAAATGAGAAACCTCGCACAACTGAGAGGTGGCCAGTTTCTACTGTTGGAGCTCACAGTTGAGTGGGTAAGAATTTGTAACATTACATTGCCAGCTGGCAAATGAATCTGAGGTTGTCTAAACAGTCAGATTGATAAGTCCCAGCTGAACCGAAACGGGGTTCTGGGATCTCTTGATCCCTGAACTAGCTGGTTGGGAACACACACCTCACCCCGATACTTCATGCTGCAGTTTCCAGGGACAGGGATGAAGAGACACACAGCACAGTGGTGTCTGTACCCACCTCACCCAAGGCAGAGCCCTGTTTCCTGAAGACTCACTTGTGGTAGGGGATAGCAGCACCACTGGCACCAGCCTGGGCAAAAGGTGGGATTTCTTGGCTCAAGGCACTAAACGGTGCAGTGGGTAGGGGCACAGCTGGCTTCAGGCACAGTGGGATCCAGGCACAGATCTTTTCCAAGATGCTCTCTCTCCATCTCCTGTGACTTTCTTCTTTGCACTCAAGCTTCCCACTGTAGCCAGAGGAGGCAGCTCCTGGCCTCCCATTCTCACAGCTTTGCCACCCAAGAGGGACTGCCTTCTTCCCTTATTTTCAAGTCAGAAGATCCCAGGGGAAAACAAAAGCATTGGCCTGGGCGCAGTGGCTCACGCCTGTAATCCCAGCACTTTAGGAGGCTGAGGTGGATGGATCACGTGAGGTCGGGCGTTTGCGACCAGCCTGGCCAACATGGTGAAACCCCATCTTTACTAAAATTACAAAAATTAGCCGAGTGTGACGGCGCGCACCTGTAATCCCAGCTACTCGGGAGGCTGAGGCTGGAGAATCACTTGACCCCAGGAGACAGAGGTTGCAGTGAGCCAAGATTGTGCCATTGCACTGTAGCCCGGGCCACAGAGCAAGACTCCATTTCAAAAAGAAAAGAAAATCCCAGGGAAAGGCTGTAATGTCCTAAGCGTACAGCCAGGACATGAGGGGTGATTAGTCGCTAGCGCCCACTGGAAGCTCACAGAAGCTTCTCAGAAAAGGAGTGTGGTTGGTACTGGCTGGCAGACCCAAGATGTCCTTCAGAGAGAGGGGCTGCAAGCCAAGATAAGGGAGGTGTCTCGCTGTGGAACTCGGAGCACAGGCACGGCTGCTTCATTCAGCACCTGGGCGACAACGTGGTCAATGCAGCGCTGGAAGGGGAACACCCTCCCTGCTCCTGGCCAGGATAAAGAGGCTCCAGGGCCATCTGGTGCCTCCTAGTTTTGTCACTCAGGAATCACCAGGGGAGGGGAGGCCGAACAAGGGGGCTGGATTTTTCCAGCAGGCTCCATGGCCAGGGCAGCAACAGGGGCCACCCTCAGGGGACTTACGGCAGGGATAGCTGCAGGGAGACCAAAGCAGAACTTGGCTGGGAGCTTACATGTGGCTCCTCAAGGGACTCCCAGATATAACCGCAAAGGCTTCGAGGGCAGGCCAAGATGCTAGCCAGCAGGATGGGGCTGGAGTGGCCGCGGGAAAGGTTAACATGGCCACCAGGATGTCCCCATCTGGTAGGGCCTGGGGATGTCTGGGGTACAGGTGACCTTGGCTATTCATATGTTTAGAGAAAAAAGACTGAATACAAGTTCAAAAATGCTGAAATGGTTATTACTAGGTGGGCAATTACAGGAGACCTTTATTTCATCATTCATACATGTCTGTATTTTCCAAATTTTCTACAATAAGCGTGTATCACTTTTGTATTTACAAGAAAAATGAACAGTACATCAGAGAAAAATGTGACATGACAGGTGCTACAATCGATGTCCAGCGTTCTACGGAGCAGAGAGGAGGGAGCAGCTAGGTCCAACCTGGCTAGGGCAAGGCTCAACCCTGAGAAACAGTCCTCTACCAGACAGCCTTGGTCAATGGGAATCCACACTCCTGTCCTCTGTTTTTTTTTTTTTTTTTTTTTTTTTTTTTTTTTTTTTAAGAGGTGTGAGACAAAACAACAAGCTCATCTCCAGGACATGATTGAGGAGCACTGTGGAGGGAGTCTCGTTCCTTCTCCTCTCTCATCTCTGACCACTGTCTCAGCCCCACACTGTCCACCCATCAATCGCCACTGATTTGCTCAGACTCACAGGATCACGTGGCAAGGTGAGCAGGAAGAGGCAAACGTACTCAGAAAATATTTTCAGAACTTGAGCTGGAACTAAAGAGAAGAACGCAAAGCTCAGTGGACAGAGCACTCAGTCCAGAGACCCAGACACAAGTTCTGGCTCAGCCACAGACTTACCTTGGGCCCTGGGATGAGTCACTTCCCTAAGGGGCCCACATTCCCTCATCTGTAAAGACAGAGTGAGAGGAGAGAAGGTTCTAAGCCAGCTCTGATATTCCAAGAGTCAGAAAAGCAACCATTGCTTCCAGCTTTCTGATGATCTGAGGCTTTGTGTCCCATCTGAGTAAGAAAAACACAGGTAGAGGCTGGGCACGGTGGCTCACACCTGTAATCCCAGCACTTTCAGAGGCCGAAGCGGGTGAATCACAAAATCAGGGGTTTGAGACCAGCCTGGCCAACATAGTGAAACCCCATCTCTACTAAAAATACAAAAAATTAGATGGGTGTGGTGGCGGGCACCTGTAATTCCAGCCACCTGGGAGGCTGAGGCAGGAGAATCGCTTGAACCCGGGAGGCAGAGGTTGCAGTGAGCCAAGATCGTGCCACTGCACTCTAGCCTGGGTGACAGAGACTCCGTCTCAAAAAAAAAAGAGAAAAAAATAAAAGAGAAACATAGAAGGACCATGGTGATATCCAAAAGAAAAATGCTTTTATATTTATCGATTTTTTTTTTTTTTTTGAGACAGAGTTTAGCTCTTGTCGCCCAGGCTGGAGTGCAGTGGGGCAATCTCGGCTCACTGCAACCTCCACCTCCCAGATTTAAGCAATTCTCCTGCCTCAGCCTCCCGAGTAGCTGGGATTACAGGCGTGCACCACCACACCTTGTTAATTTTTTAATATTATTAGTAGAGACAGAGTTTCACCATGTTGGCTAGGCTGGTCTCAAACTCCTGACCTCAGGTGATCCACTAGCCTCAGCCTCCCAAAGTGCTGGAATTACAGGCAGGAGCCACTGTGCCCAGCCTATATTTATAGATTGTTTAACTGAACTAGATATAAAATGTATATCAATAAATGTATTTACTCCAATAAAAAAGAAAAGAAAAACACAGGTACCAATATCAAATTCCATGTCTACCTGTGAGTGTGATCTTCCTGTTTCACTCATTCAATAAATGCATTCAGGCGAGGCCCGGTGGCTTACACCTGTAATCCCAACACTTTGGGAGGCCGAGGCAGGAGGCTAGCTTGAGCCCAGGAGTTCGAGGCCAGTCTGGGCAACATGGTGAGACCCTGTATCTACAAAAAATAAATTAGCCAGGCATGATGGTGCCCGCCTGTAGTCCCAGCTACTTGGGAGGCTGAGGCAAAAGGACGGCTTGAGCCCAGGAGGTCAAGGCTGCAGTGAGCCATGATAGCACTACTGCACTCCAACCTCAGTGACAGTGAGACCTTGTCTCAAAAAATAAACACATTCATCCATTCAAATATTTATTGAGTACCTATATATGCCAAGCACTGTGCTAGGCACCAAGAATGCAGCCATGAACAAGACAAACAAAGGGCCCTGCCCTCATAGAGCTTACACTCTAGTGGTGGGGGGAGGTGTGCAGACAATACACAAGGCAACAGACAAGTAGATAAGTGTTTCAGGAAAATAAACACAGTGCTAGAAAGATTGGTTAGGGCCGGTGGCTCATGCCTGTAATTCCAGCACTTTGGGAGGCCAAGGCAGGCTGATCAGTTGAGGCCAGGAGTTTGTGACCAGCCTGACCAACATGGCGAAACCCCGTCTCTACTAAAAATACAAAAATTAACCGAGTGTGGTGGCGTGTGCCTGTAATCCCAGCTACTTGGAAAGTGAGACAGGAGAATCACTTGTACCTAGGAAACAGCGGCTGGAGTGAGCCAAGATCATAGCACCATTGCACCCCAGCCTGGATGACAGAATGAGACTCAAAAAAAAAAAAAAGAAAGGACTGGTTGGGAGGGTGTGGGGGTGCCACCAGTTTAGATGTTTTGATCAGAAAAGGTGATATTTCAACTGACACCTGAACAGATCAGCTCTATTAGTATAGGACAGGCTATGCTGCAGTAACAAATTAATCCCTACATCTCAAAGATGTAACACAAAGATTTCTTTCTCTTTTGAGATCTCCAGGAGGTAGAAAGGATTTGTTTTTTGACCATGCAAAGTCTGAGTCAGACTGCTAGGTCTCCTAGGCTACTGCCCTCCATGTGGTGACTCAGCAATTCAGCCTGCAGCCTGCGTCTATCTCAACACAAGGCTTTCAGAGTCTCTACCGCAGCACAGAATGAGAGCTGGGGACTCCTGCGCAAGGGCTCTTCATGGCCTCAGCCCGGAAGTGATTCTCCTCACTCACACTCAGAGCACATTGGCCAGAATGAGTCCCAGGCCCACATCTAACTGCAAGGGGGCTGGGAAAAGCAGTTTTCTTGGGTAACTGGGAAGGAAAGGCGAGTACACACGGATGAGCCCTACAAATGTCTACCATAGCAGCTGGACAAACAACGGTGGAAGAGCATTCCAGGCAGAAGGAATGGAAAGGGTGAAGACTAAATACATGAGGCCAGGCGCAGTGGCCCATGCCTTAATCCCAGCACTTTGGGAGGCCAAGGCGGGTGGATCACCTGCAGTCAGGGTGAGACCAGCCTGGCCAACATGGTGAAACCCCGTCTCTACTAAAAATACAAAAATTGGCTGGGCATGGTGGTGCACGCCTGTAATCTCAGCTACTCAGGAGGCTGAGGCACGAGAATTACTTGGACCAGGCAGGCAGACGTTGCAGTGAGCTGAGATCGTGCCACCGCACTCCAGCCGGGTGAGTGTGAGATTCGAGAAAAGGAATAGGCCAGGCGCAGTGACTCATGCCTGTAATCCCAGCACTTTGGGAGGCCAAGACAGGTGGATCACCTGAGGTCAGGAGTTCCAGACCAGCCTAGCCAACATGGCAAAACCCTGTCTCTACTAAAAATACAAAAATTGGCTGGGTATGCTGGCGTGTGCACCCGTAAACCCAGCCACTTGGGGGGCTGACACAGGAGAATCGCTTGAACCCAGGAGGCGGAGGTTGCAGTGAGCCAAGATCACACCATTGCACTCTAGCCTGGGCAACAAGAACGAAACTCCGGCAAAAAAAAAGAAGAAAATGAATAAATTTAGCAGTTCACAGAACTGGCTGAGGGAGAGGGCAAGTGGGAGAGGCAGGAGATAGGGCCAGAAAGTAAAGCAGGAGGTATTCAGATTGTATTCTAATCACAATGGACGAGAGTTCCATCCGGGGCATCAGTCAGAGCTGGATTCCAATCCCAGCTTTGCTCCTGTAAGATTGAGGGAGCAGCCTGACTTTTCTGAGACTCAGTCTCCTCAAAGGGAGCTGGGACCAGTTACAACCTGTGAAGGTCTTCCTGCTCCGTGCCCAACGCACAACAAGCTCTCGAGAACTAGTGGCAACTATGAACGTTATAGGAACTTCCTTCCTCTCCCGGGTCAGGGAGGGGAGGGGAGCGTGCCAGAGGGAGAGAGGGGGCGGGGAGTACGCCAGTATAAACATACCCTGAGTCAGCCGCCCTAACCAGTTTTCCTAGTTGTGCGGGGCCAGCTGGGGCTCCAGACCAATCCAGGGTCTGACCCTCTTCCCCAACAGACTAAGCCCCACAAACACACCCATCCAAGGGACCCTCAGCAAAGAGGGAACATGGGAGGGGTATCCCAAGCTGTGTGAGCGTTCCTTGTAGAGCATTCCTCATTGTAAGTTGTTAAATATCGGACGAGTGACTGTGGACCACCAAGCACAAGGCCAGCACTGGAGGGATTCCCAGGGCCATCTCTACCCAGGACCACCCCTACCCAGGGTGCCCGTCCAAAGCCCAGGCTGGCGCTTCCAAGCTCAGCCTCCAAAGCCACATAGAGCTCAAAACAAACCAGGCTCTGCTTCTTTTTTTTTTTCTCCTCGTTTTTTTAATTTGTTTTTGTTTTTCTGAGAGTTTTGTTCTTGTTGCCCAGGATCTCGGCTCACCGAAACCTCCGCCTCCCAGGTTCAAGCAATTCTACTGCCTCAGCCTCCTGAGTCCCAAGCAGCTGGGATTACAGGCATGCGCCACCACACCCGGCTAATTTTGTATTTTTAGTAGAGATGGGGGTTTCTCCATGTTGGTCAGGCTGGTCTCAAACTCCCGACCTCAGGTGATCTGTGCACCTCAGCCTCCCAAACTGCAGGGATTACAGGCGTGAGCCACCATGCCGGGCCAGCTCTGCCGCTTTCTAGGTAACAATAAGCTCTTTCCTTCACCTCCCTGGGCCTCCAGTCCCTTGTCTGAAAAATGAGGACACCCATGGGAGCACCCGCCTGTGTGGTGAGGCTGCTACAGCTCAGAGCCTGGCATACAGTGAGTGCCCAGTAAATGAGAGCTGCAATATTGGCACTGGCCAGCTCTGCCCAGATAACTTTTCATTGCAAAAGGCATGACAGTTTTCCTACTGACTCTTTCCTGTTGAGCAAAATTGGTGACTTAAGTTAACAGGCCAGGCGTGGTGGCTCACACCTATAATCCCAGCACTTTGGGAGGCCGAGGCTGGAGGATCCCTTGAGTCCAGAAGTCTAAGACCAGCTTGGGCAACATAGTAAAACGCCATCTCAACAAAAAATACAAAAATTACACTTTGGGAGGCCAAGGCGGGCAGATCACAAGGTCAGGGGTTTGAGACCAGCCTGGCCAACATAGTGAAACCCCATCTCTACCAAAAATACAAAAAATTAGATGGGCGTGGTGGCAGGCACCTGTAATCCCAGGTACTTGGGAGGCTGAGGCAGGAGAATTGCTTGAACATGGGAGGCGGAGGTTGCAGTGAGCTGAGATCATGCCACTGCACTCCAACCCGGGTGACAGTGCAAGACTCCATCTCAAAATAAAATAAAATAAAATAAAATAAAATAAAATAAAATAAAATAAAATAAAATTAGCCAGGCATGTTGGTGCACACCTATAGTCCCAGCGACTAGGGAGGCTGCGGTGGGACGATCACTTGAGCCTGGGAGATCTAGGCTACAGTGAGCTGTGACTGCACCACTGCACTCCAGCCTGGGAGACAGAGTAAGACCCTGTCTCAAAAGAAAACAAAAAAGGTAACATGCACCTTTTCCAGGGGGGACCCAATCAAGATCTTTTTACTCTGGAGTTGGGGGAGGAGACAGGAGGAAGTGCCTTAGAAACTTTGTTGGATTTTTTTGTCTTTCCATAGATTGGCACTCGTATTTTTTAAAAGGTTAGTCCTTTTAAAAGATAAATCAGAAGGTGTCTGGTTATCTTCAGGGCCTGGCTGTGCCTGACAGTCAACATTCACTCAGGATAGATGCTTGATGATTGAATTAATTAATTAAATGATGGATGAATGAATGAATGGACTCTATTCTAGGGAGGGAGTAGCTTAAAGAGGAAACAGTAAAA